TGGGGATGCGGTTAATTAAAAAAAAAACATGTACAGTGAAATGAAATATGTTATGTTTGTCATTGTGATGCGACAAAATATGAAAAAGGTGAAGAATGTCGATATCTTTGCATGACACTCTAGTGTTTCTACAAGAAAAAACAAATGATCCCAGATAGACACGTAAAAGTAATACAGTATAGAGCCTTTACCCAAAAACAGAGCATGTAGGATTAAAGGAAGGTGCAACGTCCAGTCCTCTCTCACACCGTGGTCCACCACCAGCTCTGTCATGAAGATCACTGCAATATTACACCTAAAGTAATCGCAAAATATAAGGAAACGTGTTACATAACCTATTTCACATCTGTGACCAATTGTACAGTTCTACAGCTTCAAAAGAAACCTCAGCAAACTGTCTAAACATTAAATAGATTTTAATCTTGTAACCTGTGCAGTGGTCCTCTGGGAGTGATGGTTTCTGGTAAAAAGTCCACCAGGGGAGCCCAGCATCCTCCGTTAAGTGGCATGGGGAGCGGGTGGGGTTTGTTTGTTTCAATAACAAACGTCAGCCAATCCACATAGGGCGGCAGAGGTTCATCTAAGTGGTCATAGGACATTAATTTAGCATTCATTCATGTTTAATATAATTCAACAAACATTTGTGTGGGTAACAATACATCTTAATCATATCAATGTCACAACGTCTTGTAAGGATCCACTGTATTTCTCTTGTCATTTCTTTTTGTTATTTATATTAGACCAAGTTTAATCACACTAGATTGTTTTGGGTCAGAAACCAGAGAACCTGGGCTTGGCTAGTTGAATTTCATTGCAGGGAGTCACAGAAGCCCCAGGCCTTCTACACATTGCTCATCCATCCTCAGTGGCTCCATGCTGTCTTTGTTCTTGCTCTTTGTGCCAGATTGTGTGTTTCTCACCAAACAAAAAAAAAATAAAAATAACAAAGACATAATTCATTCAAGTTTTTAACACAGTGTAACACATACTTTTCTCTTCATCATAAGATCCTCCTGAACTGTTGCTGTAACGTGACTCCAGTCGGCTGTGTGCTCTCATTATATGACCAAGCCTGAGACCAGAAAAAAAAACAACATATATTTCTATGAAGATATCAACAAAAGTCCTCCAATGTCGTAGTTATCTCTGATTACACGATTTAAGTCGTCAGTGGACACTTTACCTCTCCTCGTTCTCCTTCATGGTCTTGATGTCATCTGTGTCGGGAAAGTTATCTTGGCAAGCTACGACAGTGTTGCTGCTTGATGTGGTTCCTGAAGAAAGAACCATAAGTGGACATGTTTTATAACATGCTAAAGGAATTACAGCTACCACGCATTTAACACTGGGAATCTGTCCAAAGCAAGCAGTTTTCAATGACTGGCCACAAAGTAGCTCCACTAAAGCAATTAAACTTGTCCTGGAATTTTCCCATCAGAAAGTTCAACCGATTTCAGTTAGTGTAAATTCAATGAAATGATATTGATAGAATACATATATATATAT